GTTTAGTGTTAGATTCTTTTCCTAGTTTCCGATGTACTCTCCCTCGCCCCTTGCTGCTACTCTCTCTCTCTCTTTCTCTCCAGTCTGCCCTCTGCTCTCTCACCTCCATTAACTAACCTGCCCAGGTCCTTTGTTTAAGCATTCGCTCTCCCAGTAGTTGTGTCTCTTCTCCTATCACTCCTTGCTCCACTCCCTGCCCCACTTCAACATCAACACAAAAATGACAGGAAACAGCCACTAACTAAACACCAACTAACACAACTGATGAAAGGTTATAAAATTAATTTCATACTCTTTACTCTTCAATATGTATTTCTTAGGGTGCATTCACACCAGCTCTATTTTGTTCACTTTAGTTGAACCGTAGTTTGTTTGCCTAGAAAGTCCGGTTCACACAGGGAGGTGTGAATGCCCAACCGATCTCTGACGCGAACCAAAAAAGTGAACTTTGGTCCACCTAAAACACCCAGGCCTCTTTGCAGTTCGAATGTATATGTGGATGCAGACTAAAGTGCAAGGCATTCTGGGTAAAAACAACCAAAACAAACATTCTGGGCTAGCACCAGAAGGAAAAAATGGCTCATGGTCTTTTACCAAAAACTAAAGTCAAGATTTTAGTGGAGTGCCACTAAAATCTGACGACACTCGATTTTTGTTTACATTTTGCGAAGAAGGAAGTTGCACTCGGCGTGTTCTTCAGAGGTTTTCGTGTCATTTTCTTGAGTGGTTCTTGGCGCAGCGCCACCTCAGACAAGGAGGGGAACAGGTTTGTTTTTCAAAGGGTTTGGTTCGTTTGACACAATACAGTGAAATTGTAGCAAATGTTGCAGGTTTGATCTGCAGTGGAACCGAGTCTACCGGACTATCAGCTGTGACAACATCCTTAATCTGCGTTTCCTCTTCCTGCAGGCAAAGGCTTGACCTCATGCGAGAGATGTACGACCGTGCTGCTGATGTGCCCAACAATACCACAGAGGAGAGTGAAAGTGTCATGACAGGAGGCGACCCTTTTTACGATCGCTTCCCATGGTTCCGCCTGGTTGGCAGGTAAACACCGAGCATCATCCACTTCATACTGTAAGAGATGCAGGACAGCGTTTCTCATTAGCTTGTTCCAATGATTGTTGACCACGTTTGTTTACTAAGACCACTGAACATAGATGGCTACCTTCATTCTGTCTACTGTTTGAGTTGACCAGTATAGTTTATTTTTTATGTTTTATTGGACATTAATAAACTGATTTTGAGGCATCTTTGATTTATATCTCTGGCTCATGGTCTAACACAGGGGCTCCAAGACTTTTTCATGTCATAGCCTCCCAAGCAGCATTAACTTCAGGGTGCAAATCAGCAGCCAATGCTGCAAAATGCCTAAAGTAAAATCATAGTCTAGAATTGTTTTTGCCCCCTCACTTTTATTGATTCGTTTAGCATAAATGCTGCCTTTTACCTTCTGATTCTTGTTGGCCCTGAGTTTTCTTGAGGACTTTTTGCAGCAGTTTTTCTGCACAGCAGGGTTGCTGGATGGTCCCTTCGGTGTTTCTCGTCAGAAGCTTTTTCATTTTCCGCTTGCTATGCTAGCTTGTGGAGCAAAACATCTTGATAAATTTGACTGGTAGCCAATCAGAAAGATGAGCACTACAAATAACATTTCAATCTATTATGTTATGTTTTGTAAAAATGATTGAAAAACAGATTGCCCCACATCCCCGCCCAAACAAAATTGGTGTCAAATGTTTTTGCTGCGTTTTGTGCAGCAAAATGTTTTGTTGTGCTGGCATCATTTTTAAGATTCTAATGAAAGTTTCTGGAGGTCATAGAAGGTCAACCAGCCCCTCCCACATTTGTGAAATCAAACAAATTTGGTGGCAATCAATTGCGCTACGTTTGTGTTACGTTTGTGCTGCTAAAACATTTTCCTCCACAAACATAACACAAACAATGAACACCAATTTTATTTGATTTGGGTAACATGGAGTGGCTGGTTGAACTTTTAACATTTAAACTTTCAAAATAAAAAAAATCACAGACCAGTAAAAATGTAGCACAGCTGATTAACACCAAATTCGTTTGATGTGATGAAGATGTTGGGGCTGGGGGTGGGGGGGACAACTTCACTTAGGGACCATGGCCTCCACTTTGAAAAAAAAAAAAAAAAAGTCTAACCCACAGACATCTTGCTACGCAGACACACACTTCCTTCCCCCCCTATTTAGTTTACTGCTGGGAAACACTTTTCCCATGTCTCTCTTCTATGTCTCAACATTTAGTCTCAATCTGTTTCCCTCCAGTCCATATGTATTCCAATGTGTGCTTTCTATCTAACTGTACTAACCTAGTTCCCATGTTTCTGGCTGCACCAGAAATCCCATTTTCAACACATGCATGAGCGAGCGCATGAGTGACCCCACCCCATCCCCGACCCTTTCCACCTCTGAAATTACTGAGCTGGCTGACTCGCAGAGGGAGGGTCGAGGGGAGGAGGAGGAGTTGGAGGAGTTGGACGACCTGGATGATGATATCTTTTTGGACGACCCGTGCTCCGAGCTCGGGCCAGATGATGATGATGATGATGATGATGATGATGATGTTGGAGGGCTCTGCCAAGGCTCCAGCGAAGGCCTGGACCCCTTTTACGACCGCTCTCCATTATTCAGTGTAGTGGGAAGGTTGGTGAGGTTTCAGGAGCATGCTGGCGGAGGAAACTAGCTCTTTCACACTGAGATGCTGGATTTTGTTCCTCCGATTCGCATCGAGAGAAACGAAGCGCACATTTAAGAGAGTTTTATCCACAACAAGGATGTTTAATGGGTAGTTTAGTTTGCGTTTTACATGGTAGCATCAAACCATCAAACTGAATTTCTCTTAGTTTGCATATTTTGCTGTAATTTCACTTCCCAGGTATGAGAGGAAAGCTGCATCTTTGATGTCAACTTAGAGGTGACACATTTAAAACAATCACTGCAAAAACACAACATCTTACCAAGTATTTTTGTTCTTGTTTCTTGTTAAAATATCATAGTGCATTTGAAATAAGACAAAACTAACTTACTAGTAACATTTGAGCAAGTTATAGGAGCTTATTCTAAGCACATAATCTCTTAAAATTGATGAAGAAGTTTTAGTTCCATTGGCAGATTATTTCATTTGAACAAGACATTTTTCCCATGTTATAAGTGAACTCTGAGAGTAAGATAATCTTTTTCATCAATATTAAGGAATTATTGACTGTAAACAAGCTGCTATATCTTGCTGAAAAGTGACGTTTAAATTTAATTTTGTCTCATTTCAAGTGTAATAAGACATTTGCTCTAGAAACTAGACCACAAATATTTGGTAAGATTTTATGCTTTTGCAGTTCAGAGCTTCATGACTGGTGTTTTCTTTGCTCACTTTTTTTTAACACCCCCTGGTTGTTTAACGTTGAAAGGCAAACAAGCTTTTGAATATATTTTTTATGTTATTATGTTCTTGTCTTAGTTTTCATTGTTCTAGTCTTTCTGAAATTGGAACCAGAAATATTTGCAAATCTCTCTCCACACTGAACATATGAAGCTACTTCTGAATGGACAGTTCCTGGTTTCAATATTTTATATGTATTTACATTTTTATGCTCGTTATTTTCTTCTTCTTCTTTTTTTTTTTTTTTGCTTTGTTGAAATAAAAATATTTTAATACTTCTGGAAACAGGTTTTTAAGCTAAAACCAAGGTTACTTTAGTTGAAGAAATATTGTTAAATGACTCATTGAAGTGTCTTTATCTTACAAGCAGTTCTGTGAAAAAAATTCACTTATAGCAAGACATTTTTCAATGTTATAAGGAAAATAATCTCCCAGTGGAACTAGTACCTTTTCATCAGTATTAAGGAATTCTTGACTTAAAATGAGCTCCTCTGAAGTATTTTAGTATTCAGCAAGAAAAGTGTACTAAGATATTTGCACTAGAAACTAGACCAAACGTACTTGGTAAGATTTCATATTTTTGCAGCGAAAAGCATAAAAACCAGCAGACACCTTGAAGCACTGTGCTGCTAAATAAAAAGCTGAGGTTTGTGGCAGAGGCATGAATGTGAACGACTTACCGAAGCAGCTGAGTCATGGCGATTATTAAGGTCTGATCTGATTAGCATTACAAAGGGATCCACAGAGAATTGTTCTGTTCCTGTTGGAAGTGATGCATTTGAGCAAGCCACGTTATATGAGCAAGAAACACTCAAAAATCTCAAGATGAAAGAGCTGGTTTCTACTGCAGCTGTCTCTTTTAGGCATGCCAGAGCACACATGTTTTTAGTTTGACCTTTTTTTTTTTTTCTTTTTTTTTTTGGCAACTTTAACTTGAACACATCTAACGATGAACTCCTATTTTGTACAAAACACCACTTTTACTTTTGCCCAGGTGGTGCACTTTGATTTTGGATGTCATTCGTTGTTTTTTTTTTTTTGGTGTAGCACACTATTTATCAAGCTGTTGGCAGTTTTTATTCAAGCTGAGTCATGTTGCGTTCTGTTCCATTTGCTTTTGATTCCTTTGAGTCGACAACTGGAAAGCATTTTTGTTGACCTTTTTTTTTGTCCTGAGCATGCCTTATTTGCACCTCACCAATCTTGTCATGAGTCTCCACCCCTAAGTGTCTATCCCCCCCGCACCCAACCCTCTGGCTTGTGGAAAATGTGACCTTTGAGTCACAGATCTTATATTGCACTTTGAAACAAGATGGCGACAAACGTTTAAAAACATTTATACTCCTGAGAAATTTGGCCCATAAATCTTTTTAGACATGCGGTGCCTTTCAAAAGTTTTCATACCTCTTGAACTTTTTCGCATTTTGTTAAGTTAACTAAAAAAAAGAAATAAAATTGTGTTTTAGCAGATTTAATGTGATAGAACTAATAATAAACTGGAAGTTGATGTTTTGTTTATTATTTACAAATATAATTTTAAAAACAAAAAATTCTATCACACTAAAATTCCCCCCAAAACACATGAAAATGTTCAAGGTTATCAATACTTTATCAAGGCAACTGTAATGCAGAGTGACTTAAGTGCCAACTCTGAGTATTTAAATCTTATTTTAAATCATAAATTAGTTTCACGATTACATTTGACTTACCTTAGTTGTACAAAAACAAAATTAAATCCTTAAAATCGTTGCTTTCTGCAGTGAGTGCACAACTCCTGATCATAAATTTGATATATTTTTTCAGATCTAAAGTTACTCTTGCACACATGCTCCTAAGCCTCGCCAAGGCTTCATTCGTATTAAAAGCAACAAGGAATACTGCATGCAGGCCATAACTGTCTTAACATATTAGCTTCTTAATAAAGGAAGAAACACCCTTAACGCAGCAATAGTAAAGGGCAACCATGGCCATCGCAAGAGCAATCCCAGCTTCTGTTTGGTTGCTTCGCAGCTCTGTGTTCTGTTGTCCTGCCCGGTGGAGATGTACTAAATGTCAACCGTCTCTTTCTCCTCCCCATGTCTGCTTGTGTTTTAATGTTTTGCCTGTTTTTTTTTCTTTCTTTATTTTCATTCACCGCGCAGGGCTTTCGTCTATCTGAGCAACCTGCTGTACCCGGTTCCTCTGGTGCACCGCGTGGCCATCGTCAGCGAGAAAGGAGAGGTGAAGGGCTTCCTGCGCGTGGCCGTTCAGGCCATATCAGGTAAGGCCCAGACCCGCCGTCTTGCCGTCGCTCGCCTCCGTCGGCGTGAAGCGGCTGAAAAGACACGCTGGGTGCGACTTCTGGAGGGAATGAAGTGAAGGTGCTCTCTGTTTCCCTCCAGCCGACGAGGAAGCTCCCGACTACGGCTCCGGCGTGAGACAGTCGGGCACGGCCAAAATCTCCTTTGAGGATCAGCAGTACGAGAAGGTAGGGAGGAAAAAATGTATGATGCCATTGTTTTAGCTAATGTAACAATTATTCTGCTGATTAACTGATTAATTGGATATTTTTCATATAATCCATAATAAATACATTAAAATTAAATTATTTTTTAAATAAGAAAACAAACATTTGTAGCAAATGATGCATCTGCAGCTAAAAAAATACTTTTAAACTCAACATATGAAAAGTTTAATTCAGTTCACTTATGTAGCACAAATTCACAATTAAAAAACATAATTTCATTTCAGTCACTCATACATTCTAATTGATCCTACTTGTCAAGCGTAACAGTATGCTCAATTAATTATTCCAGGTTTCTATGTAAGGAAACTTTAAATAGAAACTCGGGAAGCTTTTTCTGCTGGACTTAACAACAAATGGGATTTAATGTGACAGAGCAACACAAAGTAATGTCTAATGGTGAAGTGAAAGGAAAGCAATACGTGACTTTCACAGTATTCCCCCAAAAAGTGGGAAAAGTATGATCTGCCTTTGGGTTTACCCCTCTTTTATTGTAATGCTCTAAATAAAAACAAAATCAACCAGTTGTTTTCACAAGTCACCTCATGAGTAACATTGGGACATTTGAACAAGGAGCAGTGATGCTTTTTTAAAGCCGGTGTCCTTACTGAGTGCTGTGTTCTGGATCTCATGTGTTCAGTTCCAGTCGGAGTCGTGCTCTGTCGGAGTTGGACTGAGCCGCACAGGGGTTTCTCAGGAAGAGCTTCGGATCGTGGAGGGGGAAGGCCAAAATGCTGAAATGAGCCCGTCAGCAGACGAGGTCAACAACAACACATGTGCGGGTAACCATGTCTTATGAGTGAATGGATGGCTTATTCCTCTGGGTGCTTGTGAGTGATGTTTTCTTTTGCTTATGAGAGAAATACTGGAGCCGCTGTGTCCAGTGCTTTCAGAGGATATAAACTCAACCTAAAGAATTTAATTCAAGTCCATTTTTTGTTTTTTTTCTATTCACATCAGCTGGTGCAGACGAGTTGGAGAATCCAGTGAAGGCGGGTCCAGATGCAGCTTTAGATGCAACTTTGGAGCACCTGAAAATTGGAAACATTTTCACCTTCAGGGTGACTGTCCTGCAGGCCTCCAGCATTTCTGCTGAATATGCTGACATCTTCTGTCAGTTTAAGTAAGTCAGTGTCCATCCAAAGTAAATGCCCTAATTAGCCTTTATTCCTCCTTTATTTGTTTTTCATTTGTTACCATTTTTTATTTCAGTTTCATCCATCGGCATGATGAGGCCTTCTCTACGGAGCCGCTGAAAAACACCGGCCACGGGCCTCCTCTGGGCTTCTACCACGTGCAGAATGTAAGAGACAAATCATGAACTAACACTATTTTCTGGTTTTATTACAACTACATATGGAACACTGCTTGTTTTGTTGTTTGTGTAGATTGCTGTTGAAGTGACCAAGTCCTTTGTGGACTACATAAAGACTCAACCGATTGTCTTTGAGGTGTTTGGACACTACCAGAAACAACCGTTTCTTCCTCTGTGTAAAGACATCATCAGGTGAGACGCCTGGTCACACATGCAGGGTTCGTACAGGCCCTTGGAAAGAGCTTCATTTCTGTGTAAAGTCCTTGAAAATGCTCGGTATTCGAACTGTATAGTTTTGTAATAAAGTGCAATCTAACTTTTGATTAAGACGAAATCTGGAAAACCTTACTTACCAAATACAAAGACACAAACATATTTTTAAATCACAATCTAAAGTTAAATCCGTCCAAACTTTTCTTGTTTTAGATTAGTTAGAATTGCTATTATTTATTTGCCAAATGCCAGAAAATGTAGTGAGAACATATTTTAGAGATTTTTTGTGACATTATTTATATTTTGTTTAAGCATTTCATTTGAGCAGGGAGTTAATTTACCTGAATATGACTTGTTTGGATTGTTTCAGCGTTATGAATATTGTTTATTTCTAATGGCTCGTTGACATTACTGATCTGTGTGATGAAATAAAGGTTGGTTTATATTTCACATGTTAATTAAACATTATTTAAATTGTGGGACTTTTTTTGTGAAATCAGTGTTTTGCTCTCGAACCAGTCAGGTGGACAGGTTGTTTGAGAGACATTTCAAAACATAACATTTTGTTCTATTTTAGTTTACCTAGAATACAATAACAAGACTATTACTAACAGTAATAAATGATATATAATGAATTGAAACTTGATATTTTAGTTCATTTTTGTTGTTTTATCTGCAAATGTGATGCTGGAAAAGCTTGAAAACTTACTTTGAAAACACAGATATATAGAAAATACGAGTCTGTTTTTTTTTATTTACATGTGACTGAATTGTTCCATCCAGTCCGCTTCACGCATGCAAAAGGCAATTTCCACAAGTGATGCCTCTTTCCAAACCAGGTAAGAAACTCCCAGCTGCTGTCGCTAGTTAGTTGTTGGTCATTTTATGTTGCTTTCGCATCTTTTGTACGTCGTCCGTTTGCAAGTCGTGACATCTTAGCTTCATGTTGTTGGGTGTGAGCAGTGGACTCTGACGACTCGTCCAATCGGGAGAAGTCCCTGGACCTGATCCGATACCTGGTCCCTGACGTGTTCAATGGGGTGCTGGTGGACTCGCTGTCGGGCCACGCCCTGTCCGCTGCTGGCTTGGCCGCTTCCTTCCTGCTGGAAGCAAACGAGCGAGCTCAGCTGCCAGCCCCGCCCGTCTCTATCTGTTCAGTTATTAAAGCTCAGAAACCCGGTTGGTTCATGCTGTCAGATCCAACAGAATCCTGCAACCGGAACCTTTTTTTCCTCATATTAACAGAAATAATTAGGGTTTTTTTCTAATGACATTTTATTGTTTATATAAATTCTGCTAATACATAAATATTTTGGTAAATTGAAATTATATTAAAAGTGTTCCTGCTTTAGGATTCTGCATTTGGATTGGCTCTCTGGTGCTGTGTGTGTGTCTGTTAGCCTCTGTGGTGAACCCTTGCACTTCCTTATGTAAATTTCTCTTCAACTTCATCATTCTGCCTTCTATCCTTAAAAATACTGTCACTTTACTATGTAGCGGCATGGTTATGATATTGCATATTCTGCTTTTCGAATATAAAGTAGAAATTCAAATCTCATAGCAATGTGAAATTCCTAAAAATAAATGTAATGGGACAAAAACTGAGATAACAACTTCAGAAAAATACAAGTAGAAACATTTGGCAGACATGTCAGCATCCTTTCAACAATTTTGTCACATTTTCATCTATTTTATTAGGATTTTATGTGATTTGTTCACAGAAGAAAATAAAATTGGGTTGTGGTAGAACCATCACACAAAATTCTTCAATGCAAAATGAAAACTGCTAAAGAAAAGCTTACACTTTTCAGTTTTTTATTTCTGTTCACCCCCCAAGTTAATATTTGTAGCACCACCTTAACAGCTGCAGACTAAACTTTTGCCTATTCTTTGCATAATCACTGAAGCTCAGTCAGATTCCTTATAAAGTCCTTCAAAGCACTTGATATTCAAACTGCACAGTTTTGTAATAAAGTGCATTTGCTTAAAAGCCTAAATTTGGAAAACAATATTTACAGTTGAAGGCACGTAGCAGGAACATTTTTCTCGCTAAGTGAACACATGGAAAGCATCTGTGATCTTCGGTTTTCAATTCTTTTCTCAAATTCTGAGTTGGATTAAAATCTCTACTTTCACTTTGTCATTTTAGCCTATAAATTTACTCGACTCGTCCACTTGCTAGCTGAATGGCTTAATTGGTTTGTGCCAAACAACAAACAGCTCTTTTCAGTGGCTTTCTGCCTGACTTACTGAGGACAAATTACACCTGATCAGTTGAATTTTGATGGCAGCTGGTTCCTCTGGATTTTACTTTGGTGTGAAGTGACGTGAATATAAATGCACATCACACTTGTGCATGTGAACTTATTTTGAGTGAGTTTTTCAGGTTGATCTCAGTAAGTAAGAGAGACGCAGTCAGTTTCCAATCTGTCTGAATATTCAACTCTTTTGGTAAAAGTTAAGGGAAAGGTACAATTAATTCCCTGTGCCTTTAGCACATTGGGAATGACCAAAAAGCATTATTACACATGGATTTATTAGCATTGAGCTTTAAGTAAAAGCTATAAAGTTGCTTATGAATATTTTTCTAGAAAAGGTGCTCTGTCTCTCCAAAACTGTACTTTCTTCCTGCACCGGATTTCCTTTCATCTGCCCGTTCTCTCTCCTTCGTAGGCTAGCTTATAGCTGTATGTTCTCACCTCACCATGCTTTTTCTCACATAACATTTTGAAACATGTTTCGACTTAGTGCCTGCCACCAAGCTGAAGGCGATGATGCGTCCCCAGGCGGGCCCCCGCCACTGTAAATATGATCTGATGGTGTTCTTTGAGATCTGCGAGCTTGAGGCCAACGGAGAGTGAGTCCAGCAGATATTTGAAATTGAAATATTTGAATAAGATTTACTGTCCATTAATTCTTGTTTGTAAATTTGGTTTTTCCAAGTTACATCCCTGCAGTCGTAGACCACAGAGGAGGCTTGCCATGCCAGGGTACATTCCTACTGCACCAGGTGTGGTCGCACCGTGAGAACATAGAAATGCCTATATATTCAAAGGAAACAAAGACCTGTTGAACAAAACCATGAATCCCTTCGTTCCGTGCTTTACTCCAGGGCCTCCAGAGGAGAATAGCTGTCACCATCGTGCACGAGTCTGCTGGAGACATAGAGTGGACCGACGTCCGAGAGCTAGTTGTGGGTAAGTTTATCTTCCAGGTTTCTTTAACCTGAAGCAGTTCATCAGGAATGTGCAGGAACAGTTTTCACAAATACACGTGTGCTTTGTCAGGGCGTTTACGCAACACCCTGGAAGCCGACGAGACCGTCATCGACCCGAACATACTCTCACTTAATATCTTATCTGCTGGTTATGTCAAGCCCCTGCAGGATGACAGGTATGTGTAGCTAGAGACCTTAAGTACACATAAATCACTTTTGAAGAGCAACCTTTCTATTAAAGCTTCAAAACAGATAATATGCTTGATATATAGTATCACTGCACTTTGGCTGAACCTACAAATCACTGTACTTTTTGACTTTTTGGTCTTTGTTTTAACTTCTCTTAAGCTGCTCATGCAGCTTATGCACTGCAGTAAGCCACAGAGCATTGCATGTCCAAAACAGAAGCACGGCACAAAAAAAAGTTTATTATTCTGTCTGCATGAGTTAGCTTGCATTACTACAGCTTTTTTAAAAAGGGACTAAACTTCCAGCCTCAGCAGAAACAGTAGACGATTACCCTGAACCAAGCTGGCTGCGTGACCCTCCCTGGTGTTGAATTGTGCCTCATCATCGCACCTACATGTAGCACCTCTCTGTGTTTGTCAGGTTTTCTGTTGTGTCTCAATTATGTATCTATTAAACTCAAGCTGTGTAGTGAACATCGTAATACCACAAATCCTTATGTAACTTTTATAGAAAAATATTTTTTACATATTTGATAAATTATCATTATGTTGCGTAAAAGACAGATATATGGAAAAGAAAGAAAGCCTGCCACAAATGCCATCAAAGACAACCTACAACAGTTTTCCTGGAGCAGTAGTTGTTTTTCCACCATTAGCAAGTTGAGCATATGGGAGGTTGATTGACAGCACTAAGACCCTCCTCCTGGCTCTGATTGGTTGATTCTGACCGGAAGCGGTGCATTTTTTCACAGCACATTAGTTAGTTGCTCTGGGAGGAGGTGGAGGAGCTCAATTTTTTCACAGATTCTCTGTTTGATGCCATTTTGTCACGACATGGTGATAGTTTTAATAAACATTGAAAAGGCTTATTTTTGTAATAGTTATATAATGCAACTTTAACAAGCATTTATATTTGTAATTTAAAGTAAAAATATTAATTCAATCTTTAGTGCTTTTAAACTAAAAATTTGTCTTTCGAACAAAACCAGTTTAATGTAGATTGCCTAAAAATATCTTAAGACATTTGCTTTAGATTAAATGCTGTGTTCTGTGAACGGAGCATTCCACCATCACATCATCTAACACTGTGTTGAATCCTGGCATTCAAGGACTAGGAGTTATTATTATGTTAATATGTGGTGATGCTTTTTCATAATCAACTATACTTTATAGAGAAATCCAGGTGCTTTAATGAGCATATAAGTATTCATATGTGATTTACGGCCACAAGAGGGCAGCAGATATCTCTAAGGAGTGCCTACAGTGAGAGTTTGTCCCTTTTGATACATTTTTACTACGACAAATGCAGGAACTGTCAGCATTAAAACTGATCTGAATAAAGTATAGATTTTAACACAATGAGAAGCAAAAAGCTCCAGAGCTGTGTCTACATCTCTTTCACAATTTGAAATAATTATTTTTTATATTAACAAATAACTAACCTTATTGTTCATTTATGTGGATCAGATAAATCTTAAATTATACACATTTTTTTTTTTTTAAAAGCAAATATTACATTTTCAGAATTATTCCCTCTGGCAGGATAGAAGACAAGGACACATTAGAGAGAAAAAAAATTTGTGAGTGATAGGAAAAATGACTGACCTTTTAAATAAATGTATTTTTTAACTCCTTAATCTCTCAGCGTCCAAAAGAAAAGTAAAAGAAAAATCACTAAAACTAAGATATATATATATATATATATATATATATATATATATATATATATATATAGATGAAAACAAATAAATGAAATAAAGTAGTTTAAATGAGAAGTTTGGGTTGGAAACAAGGGTCATCACAGTCCTTACCAGAGCTTTTAATTTATAGTTCTCAGGCTTGGTTTAATTTTGGTGATTTAAAACTGCACTTGAGATTCCACTTGTTGTCTTGTTTGGATAAAAATCAAAGTACAAATGAATGCTAACATTTTCTCCCCTCAGTCCACTAACAGAATGTTGTTCTTTTGTTTTTTTGTTTTGTTTTGTTTTGTTTTGTTTTGCTCTGCAGACAGTTTCTTGATTCGGACATGCCTAGGTATATTATTTGCCTCTGTTTTCATGATCTTAAGTTACACCTACACCATATCTCTCTAACCTTCTTAACACCCTCCCATCTCTCTAGTCGGCCTGTGATTTGGTTCCCTACCCGCCTGCTCTCTCTCATGACTCCCAGCAGTTTATATGTTCATTTTTGTGTCCTTCCGCTCATGAGGGGTGAAGGCTGCAACCCTGCATGTTCCCAGGTCTCTTGCTCTTGCTGTGCTTGGATGTGTGTTTGGGCCAGTGTTGGATGTTAGTCACTGTAGAAGGACAGGGTCTGCATGGCTCTGCTTTGCTTAACGTTCCAGGCTGTGTCTGTGCTGGAGGTGTCATAGGGCCAGAGTCAAACTGTCTCAACGTCAACTATTGCTCCAAGAAGCCTCTAACAGCACAGAGTCCAGAGGAAATATTTTTCTTTGGACAGTAAATATATGTTACAGTATTGCAAGCTTTCATAGCAACTTATTAAAAAAAATTCTGGTTGAGTGTAGATGCTAATTTACAGGTGCATCTCCTAAAGAATAAATTATTCATTCAGTAAATATACAGTAAAATTCATAGTGATCCATTAAAGGAGCAGTATGTATTTTCCAGACACATAGTGCCATTTTATCTGGTAAGCAACTATGTTAATTTCAGTTGTTAAAAAAATGCTATTTATATCAAATATGACTTCATTACATCACTCCTATTAACTCTTTAGCAACGTTTTCACCAGCAATGCACTGAAAAGTACCTGTTTTAACAAGCTCAGCTGACGTGTCGTTCCACCAGGTGTTTGCTAATTTCTGCTGACTAGTCTGAAGGAGCTGAGTGGGGGAGTTATGGGAGAAGGGCTGATCTGTGAGGTGGAAGCTCCGAAGCTTAACTGCAGCTCTGAGCAGAAGCTTTGTTCTTGAAGGCGGTGCTAGGTCCAACCAGGCGTTTTGCACAGGTGAATGGTTGCCATGGGAGATTGTTAAACATGCATGAAAGAATCGAGGCAAAACTCCATGTTTGTTAATGATGAGGGAAGAACATTATAACATGATGTAATTTTACATATTACTGCCCCTTTAAATACAGAGTGATATTTCAGGCATTTATTTTTTGTAATGTTGATTATTTCGGGTAACTGCTGAGTCCTATTGAGTGGCACAACAACAGGAAGTAGTTGACGGATGATGACGCCACGTTTTTAATGACTTATTGTGTGATCAAATGGATTCACGTGTGATTTTAATTGAGTTTCTTATTTAATAGAAACACCACTATTGTAAAATTATGTCTTTTCAATATTAATGTAATATTGACAAAGTTTCGCGCACGTGTGTAATGGAAACGCAGCTAACGTAAGTAATTAAATTACATAACAGTTTACCCTTTTTATGTGATGTAGGGAAATAAGTTACACTAGGGGTGTTAGAATTTATTGAGGTGCACTTGTATACTTCAGACTGAATCTGATATGTTCTCAAGCTCTTAACGTTTTTAAAAATCTGTTTCTACAGGAGGAGGACCTATCAGGTCCAATAGGGGGTGGTAGAAACCCACTTTTAAAATTGTGGAGTAAGCTGAGAAAAACTGTCTCTAGTTAATCCTGACATTGATGTCATAGTTTGACATCAGTACAATTATTTGGTTCCAGCGCCACACCGACCTCAGAACCCAGAGCGTTTCCCATCTCAGAACATAACAAGAACTCAAATCAACCACTAAGTAAATTCCTGTAACATGGATCGCATCAATTCCAATACATCAATATAGCTATTCAAACATAATCCTCTGAACCATTACCTCAGTAGCAGCCTTTTAGCCCAAATTGCTGCAATGTTGTGGATATATTTAAATGCTTCTTGTTACCTCGGGGAAACTCTGCCAAACGCCAGAAACAAACGCTTCTTAAATGTTCCGCCAGCAGCATGACTTCAGTGCTGGCTCCCACATTTTTTTTAGTGGGCAGTAAAAAAGCAGAGAAGCACACGATGGAGCGGCGCGAAAAAGGAAATTGCTTGCTTGTAGTGTGAGCGGACAGCTTTTCTACCATTTGGAATGTCACATGCGCTAATTACCGACTGGAGAAGGGGGAATCTCTGCACTCGGTCACCTCCCTGCCGTGTCCGCAGCACGGAGCTGTCATTACTCCAGAACAGTACGTGCCTGTTTGCTGTCTTCTGGGTGACACATTGTTCACTTCAACACGAGGTCATTTCAGTCCAAGAGTGGCCTAGGCTGAACATCTGAACCTCATGAAGAGCCTATTCAGCCGGCTTTTACGGCCTACAGAAAACACTGGTTTCCTTATACAATTCTTGCTTGGATAATCTTTTTTAGATTCGAGGCAGTCACCAGGCCGCGGGCCAAAGCAGTTACAGCTTTCAGCGTGTGTGTGATTATTTTCCCTTGAGGTAGACGGGTAAATTTGTGTACATTAGCGTACGGAGTAAATCAGCCGCGCAAGCAGAAAGCGGCTATGTTGTCGCTTGGGGTAAAAATGGCCACCGCGGTGGTCGTCCGGAGTGACGGATCAGCAGTGTCCGCAGGATTCAAGGAGTTCTGTAGGATTGTTATCATGATGAGAAAGACAAACACCATCCCAGCTACACAACTGCAAAGCCTCGACATACTTCCTAACTCTTACTTTCTATTCTTTTGCTGATTTCTCCTTTCTCACAGCATTTCCCTGGGAATTGACCATAGGTATTTCACTGCCCTGTCCCCCATTTTCTCTGTCCTCCTCTCATTCCTTCCTGTCTCTATGATCAAAACCCATTACTGCTTTCAATTGCTTTTCTGTGGTGCTTTGCTCAAAGTCCATCATCTGATTGTGTTGCATGCAAAAACAACTGTCATATGATGCAGTATGATGACATAGAGATGCTGTTTATACTGTCTGAATTTTTCTAAGATAGTTTTTATTCAATTAGTTATGATTGATAGTTATGACCTTGGTTTTTAAAGCAAAATTTCAGTGCATATTTTTTCATATGAAATACGTTTGTTCCTGAAATGTCTTTCTTTTTTCCATAGTCTTTTGTTTATACACATTAGACATTACAGACAGCATGTTTTACTAGAGATGCACCAATCAAAATAGGTAAAGGTCACACTGCAAAAACTCAAAATCTAAGTATTTTTGGTTTACCTTCTAGTGCAGATATCCAAGTACACTTGAAATAAGACAAAACTAAGTTACAAGTAACTTTTGTTTTAAGTTAGTTATTCCTTAATATTGATGAAAAAGTATTATTTATAGGTGAAACTATCTGTCTGCAAAGTACTTTTTCATCAATTTTAAGGAATTAATTTTAAACAAGCTCCTATTTCTTGCAGAAACCTTAACTGTAAGTTAGTATTGTCTTATTCTGTGTACTAAGATATTTGCACTAGAAACTAGTCCAAAAGTACTTGATAATATTTTGTTTTTGCAGTGAAATTTCGTCATTTTCTGTTAAATTAAAACCTGTCAAAAACCCGGTGGTTTTTTTTTTTTTTTTTGCATGGTATTTCCTTCAAAAATGACAGTAATCAGCCAAAACGGGAATCATAAAGACAAATGTAAAGGAAAATCATAAATATGTACAAGCCAGGAAAAATCCCTGATTGGTGCATCTCTGCTTCTTTATTTTTGTATATTAAAAGAAATGTCAGGTTTGACTGCCTATGCTTATGTATTTGTCCTGGACCGTCTCAGGACTTTTTACCGCTTTGAGGCTGCTTGGGACAGCTCGATGCACAACTCTCTGCTCCTGAACCGAGTCACGCCGTATGGAGAGAAGATCTACATGACCCTCTCGGCCTACTTGGAGGTACCGCACAGAGCCCGCATTTATAAGAGGCTGAAGTAACACAGCCGTATCTTATGTGAGGTGTTGAGTTCCTCTGTGGAGAGAGGAAAAAAAAATAGTTTTAAAAGCCCCCCTCTTTTATCAACTGCAGATGGAGAACTGCACGCAGCCTGCATACATAACCAAAGATATCTGTATGGTGTTTTACTCACGGGACACCAAGCTCTCGGCCTCTCGTTCGATCCGCAACCTTTTTGGTACGGGGAGCCTGAGAGCAGCGGATGGGTGAGATTAAAAGCTTCAAACTATAAAAGAGCTGTGGAGGTCTAGTATTCCTCCCCCCCAAACGCCTCATATGCAGCTGAGCAGTAAAATGCAATCTCTGAGTATTCCTCTTTCTTTTCTAGAAACCGAGTAACTGGAGTTTACGAGGTCAGCTTGTGTCACCTTGCAGATGCTGGAAGTCCAGGTAAGAGTTAAGAAAAATGTCCGTGTGGCAGTAACACTCGGCTTAGGTTCAGTTCAGACATGAGTAACAGACTCTCCTGCCTCACACCAGGCATGCAGAGGAGACGCAGGCGAGTGCTGGACACCTCTGTGGCCTACGTCCGTGGAGAGGAGAACCTGGCGGGGTGGAGGCCACGCAGTGACAGCCTCATCCTGGAGCACCAGTGGGAGCTGGAGAAACTCAGTCTCCTCCAAGATGCAAGTGCCAATGTTACTTTCATATGTGCTTTACCAGAACTGAGAAGTATGTTTTCTAATCTGAAGGATATAAAAAGGACTGAACCCGTTCAGATCGTATTTTATCATATAACAACCACAAACCGGGACTGGAAAATAAATCAATAACAATATCCAGGGCCGGATATACAGGCCAAAGCCTTTTTGGAGCCTTAAGCAGGTTTCCAGCATCCAGCGGTTTTTGAACTAAAAAATGTTTAAAGTTGACAGTAAATTTGAAAATATCACTTGATAAGCATTATAGTAAAACAGCTAGTCTCTGACACATGCATTTCTAAAAGTTCCTGAAGAGTTTTTCTGTCCCAGTCCAGGTGTAACTGATGTTTCCTCCTCCTCAGGTGGAGAAAACCAAACATTTCCTCCTGCTGAGGGAGAAACTGGAGTCCACCCTGCTGACGGGCCAGGAGTCCCTTCAGTCCTGCGTCACTGAGGAGACCAGTGAGTCGGCTCCAGTGGCCGAGGCAGACCCGGGGCCCGCCTTCAGCTCTGAGATAACCACCGACAGGCAGAGGGAGCTCGCTGCCAAGGTCAGCTGCCACGCTGCGCTCTTTGGGCGTTTTAACCATATTTGAAATGTGAATATTGTATAATTGCCAACAAAATCGATTGAAAACAACCTATGAATCCAGTTTGTTTGGTGTCATATCTTAAGCACTCCATTTTTTTTTTTTTGTCAGTGTTTGCGGCTGCTTACTCACTCCTTCAACAGAGAGTACAGCCATGTGTGTGTCAGCGCCAGTGAAAGCAAGGTAGAGTTTAAATGATGTGTCACAAAGCTTTGATCGCTGTTTGCCGATCGGTTTTAAACATCTGGATGTGTGTGTGTGTTTGTGTGTGTGTGTGTGTGTGTGCGTGCGCGTGCGTGCGTGTTTCAGATCTCTGAGATGTCTGTCACATTGCCGAGAGACGCCTCCTCCATATCTGCTCTCAACACAATCACACCCTCCTCAACATGCCCTTCTCTGGTGGAGGGTTGCTATAACAACACTGAGCTCAAGTTAGTCCTAACACTGGAGTTGTTTATGATTTTCTGGTCTATTTTTCTCTGTCCAGCTCTGTATTTTTGTGTTTGTTTTTCATGTTTAACCTCAGACCTCCTCCGCCTCTGTCTCGTGCGGTCAGCCCCAGTCCTGAACCACAGCAGGACGGCGCGGACAAAAAGTCCACGAATGTAGGTCCTGACGTTAAACCTCGGACTCGAAAACTTATCCCTGACATACAGGAGATCAGAGTCAGGTCAGTCTCAATTATTTGACTTTTAACATAGGGGTGGGCATTCATCACATCATTTATCTTGATAAATAGATTTATCGTTATGATAAATTCCAATTCATGATGCTTAAACCCCCCAAAACTATCGGGATTCTTATTTTTCCTTTCTTTTTTTTCTTCACTGTTAGTTCAACGGAGGTATCAGTAAATTTTGAAAATATGATTAAATGCAGCTACTGTGTGATGATTAGTGAAACAAATTACATTTCTTTATGCAACTGGACTCTTAAAGAAACACATTAAAAATTAGAATGTTTTTGTGGGAGCAAACAAAATGCCACAAAATACCATGATAAAACCTTAGCTTCACATCACTCCCCCCAGACCCCTTTTGTAATAATTCATGTGTTTTTCAGCCCAATCGTATCGAAGAAGGGCTACATCCACTTCCTGGAGCCGCACACCAACGGCTGGGTGAAGCGCTACGTGGTTGTGCGGCGGCCGTACGTTTACATCTACAACTCTGAGCGAGACACAGTGGAGCGGGCCATTCTGAACCTGTCCTCCGCCCAGGTGGAGTACAGTGAGGACCAGCAGGCCATGCTGAAGGTCTGCGCCACGCCAGCAGCTCCAGGAACACTTCCCCTCTGCCACATTCATGTATGCCGCAATAAACATTTGTGCTTCTCTCAACAGACTCCAAATACGTTTGCGGTGTGTACAGAACATCGTGGAATATTACTTCAAGCCACTAATGACAAAGAAATGCATGACTGGCTGTATGCGTTCAACCCTCTTCTTGCTGGAACTATCAGGTAAGTTATCTTGCTGAATTAGGAAGTGTCGCATATCTGTTAAAACCTGATGAACTTTTTCTGATTATTCATTTTATTGTAGAACATGGAAGACTAACAGCTAACAGCTGGTAAGATGAAGGAAAACTCATAAGTTGTCCTTGTTTTGCCTCTCAGGTCAAAGCTGTCGAGAAGACGAGCCGGACAGATGAGGATTTGAGGAAAAAAAGATACATGCAAAGACTACAATGTACATACTTCCCTGTTCTCCTCATTCCCATCGTGCTGAGCCTCGTTTCTACCATCACTGTCACCGGCAGCCATCTTCCCCCCCTGCTCAGTCTCCGTTCCGTCGTTCGTGTCTTCGCTGTTGGGTTTTTCCCGTCGGGCCTTAGCAACGCGCAAAGAAACTTCTGGAAGAATCAGTCACCGAACTGTACCGGCATTATTTCACAGCTTGAGAACGGAGGAGGCAGCAGTTTCTCACGCCAGACTCCATGTGTACGATAAACGTGCTGTAGTTGTTGTCAGTGACACATCAAGCCTTTCTCATTTACTACTTTAAATAAATAAAGCAAACAACACAGGGACATGTATTCTTTAATAATGCCGCTGCACTACTAGCTAAGCTCACATCGCTACATTTGCATCGGTAAAATAGGAAAACATGTAGGTTCCTCTTCTGCTCTACTTTACTGCTAAACATAAAGTTTCAACTGGTTTAACCTTAATGGTCAGAAAAATAAAAGCTGAAATAAAACTAATAATTAAAAAACAAAAAAACAACTCAAACTTCTTCAACATCAAACTTAAGCACACACAGCGAGACAACAACATGGCACCTCCTCAGACTGCAGCCTGTGAATCCATAACATTTAGGGTATGAGGGTATTTTACATCTACATGACAGAACCAAACACCACCTCCTTCTTTTCCTTCCAGTATGATTTCTTTCTCTCTGACTTGTGTTTGAAATGTGATATATTTAGATTTTTAACAGCCTAATTATTTATTTCCACATGTATTTATTTACAAAGACGTTTATATTTCTAAAGTAGTACTCAGTGCAATTTCTGCACACGGCACTTTTTAATGAGTTCATGAACTATTTGAATAATAAAAGCCTCGTCCCTACAGTTTCGCTTTTAAAGTAATCCAATAAACGCGCTCGGTTTCTTTGTGCTGAAGAAAACTTGAAAAATGCAACAGCCCCGAACGATTAGGATAGCTTAACCTTTGACCCAACCGATGTCCCATGGTAACGTTTTTGATATCAAGTCGGTCTTATCGTCCCTCCTAAAATGGGAAATCAACAGCAGTTCCTCACAGCACATGATATGAAACTGGCTTTCTGAATGATATGTGTATATTAAGTGTAGTGCCTCTCTTTTCTAACATTCTGCACAGTATGCCTCTGCACCGATTCCTTTGACCTCACATCCTTCACGCTGCTGTAATCATGTTCATGAAACGTCTGCACATCACGTCATCACTTTGCGTTTTCTTTCGTCTTTTTGTCATATGCATTTGAGACAAAAGATTAAAATATTTGGAAGAGATTCAGCGTATCTCAGGATTGTCAGCTTGCATAGGGCTCTACTTCTTAACACGTCATGCAAAATGTTTAAAATGCAACCCACCTGTAGCTTTAATCGCTTCGTTTCTACTCCGTTTTATTCCTTTGTTGTATATTTTAGCTGAGGTTTATCGTGTCCTAACTGTGACTCTGGATTAGCATGCCTCGGGTCAGCCAGCCTACGGAGTATGCTCAGTTTGTCAACTGACTGCATGGACGACATCTTAAAGCAGGGAACTGATGCAACCATTGTATTGCACACTCAGCATTGCATTTTTAGGAGCGATTAGACAGCTACAAACATGCTATATTTTGTTTGTGTGTTTTCTATAGATGTGATTCATCCAATACCTGATATGTTAACAGTCTTGTGTGATGTGGAAATATTTTGGCTCATTCGGTGGGGGGGGGTTTGACTGATCTCCTCACCTGCACAACTGTTGTTAGTCATAATAAATCAACAATTAGCTTGAATTGGCGTTCAAATCTCACAGCTCACCTTCCGAACAGAATCATTGTGCATTTTATCCACCTTCGTCCTGGGCGAATGCTCTCCTGTTTGTACTTTACTCATAACTCTGCATCACGTTGTTTTATTTCAAAGCTCTAACAGTCAACCTGGTCGTAATTGTTTCTGATTAGTTTTGTTCTGACTTTTTTTAAGCAACCAAAGTTCTGTTGGTGCACTCACTTAAAAGTTCACTCTGAATGTATAAAAATAACAATAATATATAGGAATTCTTCTTCTGCTTCGATGTTTTTATGAACCTTCTGCTTTCTGGTTGGGGTTCCTCACTGATTGTAAGGCGGTTATCACCGGGGATGTACGCACAGGTTCTGAGACCCGCCATGTAATAATCTGTCTGCTTATGTGTGGGACGATTATGGTTCACTGTGGCCTAGTTAAACTTTTATGTCTTGTACAAAGTAATGTTCTTGGTTGCTTTGCCGTCGCTCTCCTTCTAGTATCAGAATCTACCCTCACCATCCTACTGCAGCAGCAGCCTTCACACGCAATCACCAACCTCTCTTTTCCTACCCTTGCCCCATGAAGTAATCTCACATTCTTGTGCTTCCACGTCTCTTTTTTTTTAGCACCAATACATTCCATTGTTCTTTAAAGATTTTTGCATTGTATATAAACATGATTGCCGTGGACTGTGTATCATATGGTTGCACTCATTAACAAACTCCTAAATGGGCAGTAGTTCAGTCGGTGTCTGAGTGTTTGTTTGAGTTTCCTGTCAGATGTTTGTGTACACTGAACACATTGTCATATATTAAATAAACCTGGAAGTGATGCAACACTAAGTGATGACTTGGTTTTTTTTTGATAATGTATAACTTTGGATCTGGTTTAGTACTTCTGTTGGGGTATTTTTAAATTAAACTGTACAACATTGTAGAATAATGATGTACAATTCACTTTGGGTTCTCCCATCTTGAAGAGTAACATCCATCCATCCATTTTCTGAACACCCTTGTCCCTTAGTGGGGTTGGGAGGTGCTGGTGCCCATCTCCAGCTAACGTTCCGGGCGAGGGAAGCGGGTTACACCCTGGACAGGTCGCCAGTCTGTCGCAGATGAAGAGTAACATGATTATTTAAAATATTTTGAGTTATTTGATAAGAAAAAAACAATATTAATTATCAATGTTGGATGAAGTCTTATTGTCTTCTTGTCCTACTGTACATAATCACCAAAGCCAATGCTGAAGCCCTTGTTTTTTCAGGCTGTTGTCCTCATATGTTTCATTGGGATGCGACCAAAAATGTTCCAGCGTTGTCTTCCTCAGCCAAAGCAGACTCGGGATTTATCACGGAAAACCCGCTTTCATCGAGTCTTCCATGACCTACGATTGTTTCTCGCTAGCCCAATGGAACCATTTGTTCTTCTGTCCAGAAATAAATCTCAACCAAACATCAATCACTCCCATTTTTGCCCATTCGTCTTCCATTGATTCCATTGCATGTGTTCTGTTTTCAAACCGGACTGCTTTGATGTCTTCATTTTTACAACCTTATAACTTCGTTTGTACTTGGTCCAGATTTTAGATGCGGTTCTAAAACATCATTTGCAACATCATCTTGGATTTTATTCCCTTGAAGGGGTTGTTTATTTGTTTTTGTTTCCAATTATTTCTTATTATGTGCTGTCGTTAGCAACTCTGGACAAACATTGTGGGTCTTAGATTTACAAAAAGGGGAGGAATGGGAAATTCCTCTTTGTTGCATATTAGGCATGTGTGCATCTACTCCATAGCCAGACTAAATCTATTGCTGGCGAGCAAAACCTACTGCTTCTGAGACTTGGAACATTATAACCAATAAATAATGTATTCTGAAATGATTTAGCGATGGTAATATTGTACTGTCCCAACATAAAAACATACATACACACTTATAAATAATTCAACATAATTCCATATGCATCCATGTTGACATGTCATTCAGTTGTCAGCTTTCTTGGAGCCATGTTTCTTGTCATGGCTCCAGGAGGTTGAGGACTGGCTTGAAGAATCAGTCTTGTGCCGATGTATGTTTCAAATATGCTAATTCAAGTTATACCATTTAACTTAACCATTAAGAGATTCTGTTATTTTTGCTTAAATTAATTTGATGTGAAATTGCACAAATTACAACAATGGTATGTTTTACAAAGTCTGAATGATGTAGACAAAAAAAAACAAAAAAAAAAAACCCTCCCATCCCATTTTTATAATTTATGAGTGACTTCGTTGCTCCGTGTGTGGTGCCAGGGTTTCTCTCTGATATCATTTCCTTCATCCAACACGTCATACAAATCGGGTGACGTGGTTTGTAATCCAGTGTTTGGACCTTCAAGTCAGCAGGTAAAAGATTTCGGAGTTCTAAAATTGTAAAAAAATTTTAAGCATACGAAGCTTAAACATGATAGAGCGCATTGAAACTACTGCAGATTAACCAGTTCCTTACGGTATTATACGTCTTTAAGATGTGGTAGTTGTAAAGCAGCACAGCCAGTCCTACATACTAGCTAGCTAGCTAATGATTCATAAAGTCGACAGTAAATCTACCTGGTGCATCTTCGGGAGACTTTGCAAGGTCAGACATGACGTCGGAGCTCTGTCTCGGTAGTAAATGTCCATGTCTGTCCCCGTTTGACAGCTCTCAATCGGATGCTCGGTAGTTAATCCTGACATAAAAAGTTAGCTAAACTAGCTAGCTGAAGTTGCTTTCCGTGTGCTTATTTGATCATTTGCCAACTCTAGCTGACAGAAACAATTTGAGATAAGACATGTCATATTACAAAAAGTTTTGTTAGGATTTCCGCGTTCAGAATGAGCCGTAAATACGGGCGCAGAAAGCAGCCGGCCGTGTTTGGGTCAGAAACTTAAGGACAGACATGCTAATGATAACTGTTCACAGCTGCAGTACAACACTGTTCCCTCTGAAGACAGCGCTTAGTTTCTAATTAAACAATGACTGGTTTATGTCTTACGCTGACATAACTACCGTAGTTGGCAATAGAGAAGCTTTCCAACACTTCGTTCTGCAACAGGATTAGCTCCGTAGGACTCCAGAAACAGACCGACTGGATGCTTTCCATATGCTTATAGGCTCATTATGTATCTCGGTTTTATTTGTTCTTTCTGCAGCATGGCGGAGAAATTTGCTGACTTAACCCTGGTGGTGGGACACACCCACAACGACCATAATCTTCACCACAATCCAGACATGAATGCAGAAAGGTGAGGAGGCTTTAGTTATGCTTTCTGGATGTCGTGAATGAACTGCTTCGGTTAAATTATAACAAGGTGTTGCATTAGTGGAAGAAAATGATACATGTTTTTAAAATTATTGCATACAAACAATTCTGAAACAATATTCAATTTTCCTTTCATTTCACAATCATACACCGCTTTGTGGTTGTAAGGTGACAAAAGTGTGAAAACACAGTAAGGCTATCAGAGTAACAAATTTTGCCGGACGATAAATTGTCCCAGAAGTCATTGCGATAAACGATAATATTGTTGTTTTGGGAGCATTTTTAAGTAATATAACGGTAATGGAGTAATAATGCAAGAACACATTTCTGGAAGACATTTTAAATTTCCAAAATAAATAAACAAAATAACAGAAACAACAAATAAAATTCATTATGAAGTCTCTGAAAACAAAATTAAGACAGAAAAAGGCTGAGACCAGAGCACCAGACTGAAGAGTTTGGCCATCCAGTTTTTGGTAGAAAAAGAGACAAGAAAAAAAAAAAGATAAATCATGCAAATCAAAATTATTGAGCTAATTTAGATTTATTGCCACAGGCCTATTTAATGGTTTTGAATACTTTGCAAGGTTTAACAGTTGTTTATCTGACAGGATCTACATGGATTATAATGCCACCACCCCGATGGAGCCAGAGGTCATTCAGGTCATTTCTGAAGCTCTCCATGAGGCTTGGGGAAACCCCAGCAGCAACTACATAACAGGTGTGAAATACCTTCTTTTTGACTCAAAACAGAAGCTTTACCTCATTGATAACGAGAAAATAAGTCAAAATTTTTTAATATATATATATAAAATTTACTATAGACCTGGCAATGTTGTTTTCCAGGCGCCAGGGCCAAAGCCATCATCAACCAGTCCAGGCAGAATGTGGCTAGAATGGTTGGAGGCAAAGCAGAGGACATTGTTTTCACCTCAGGGGGAACGGAGGTAACGACTCCTGGTGTTTGAAAACGGTCGTCTCCTGCTCTCAGATCTGCTTTAAAGCAAGTGATTGGTCCCGCAGGCCAACAACCTGGTGCTGCACACGGCCGTGGAGCACTTCAGGAAGAGCCGCAGCGCCGCAGAGCACAGTGAAGGCCGTCATAACGGCTGCACCGGCCTGCCGCACATCGTCACCTCCAACGTGGAGCACGACTCCATCCGGCTCACAGCCAAGCACCTGGAGGCGGCTGGAAAGGCAGGTGGGAGATCACGTTTTCATCGGGATGTTTGTTTTTTTAAGAGTCTGTCCTTCAACCACTGAGGTAAATCTGCTTTTTGTTATTTCTGTCGTAGATGTAACATGTGTGCCCGTTTCTAAGGTGACAGCTCGCGTCGAGGTGGAGGACATCATCGCCGCCGTGCGCCCCAACACTTGCCTCGTCTCTGTCATGCTGGCTAACAATGAGACGGGAGTCGTCATGGTAATGGAAAAAAAAAAAAGCTCGAAAAGCCTCTTGGCCTGGTCTTTCTTGTTCTGAAAACCATTTTCCAGTTGTAAAGACTCAATGTTTGGATTGCCATAAAACCCATTCCTGTATGCTGAACGCCATTCGTCTTTTCAGCCAATCCCAGAGATTTGCCAAAGAGTAAAATCCCTCAACAAGCAGAACGAGCGGCTCAGGATCCTGCTGCACACAGATGCTGCACAGGCGCTGGGCAAAATCCCAGTGGATGTCCAAGAACTGGGAGTGGATTACCTTACCATAGTAGGACACAAGGTCAGCAATTAGCTCCTCATATTAAAAGATTCAGCCTAAACTCTTTCTATAATCTGTTTTTTTTATGTATCTGCATATGTAAATGTTTCAGTTCTACGCCCCTCGTGCCGGGGCGTTGTACGTGAATGGCCCCGGAACAAAGACGCCTCTGTATCCGATGCTGTTTGGAGGAGGACAGGAGAGGAACTTCAGACCAGGGTACGCCACGATATGTGTTACCCAGCAAGAAAACTCTGGAATAAGATCAAAAATAAGAACTCTAAAGATCTAAATATGACGTTATTTTGTTTTTGCCTCTCCCTTCTTTCCTCAATGCCACAGCACGGAGAACACGCCAATGATAGCCGGCCTGGGAAAGGTTGTTTACGTTCAACGCCTCGTACATTACAGATCACTAAAGTTTAATGCGCTACCTCTGTAAAACAGAAACTGTTTGTAACAGGATCCTTTTGTTTGTGTTTGTGTCAGGCTGCTGAGCTGGTGACTGCTAATCTCTCAAGTTATCAGAGTCATATGCTAATGATTAAAGCGTATCTGGAAGAACGACTGCAAGTAAGTGTTTCCCCTAATAGAGACGCTTTGGTTCTAATCACATTTACTTTCACATTTTCTGCACATGATATAAATCTAAGTTTTGTACCTTTTTATCACTGTCATTTGAAAAGAAGGTAAAGGAGAATTTTACAATCCACAGGTTCTTTCACAAATCAAAAGGCTCCAACTTACTGCTCTGGAATCAGACAGACAATAGAGAAAGAATGATGTGGATCAGTGTTATGGAGGAAGTGCTTGGCATGTAGAGACGAACAGATTGGAATAAATTCTGTTTTATGATGCTTTGAGCTTCCAATACTAACTTTGGCTGATGCTATTTCTCTTTAATAACTGTAACATAAGAAACTATTAGAAAATGTTATCAGTACAACATTATTGTACTTACCCACAGACAAAAAAAATAAAATACAGATGACAGCATTGGAAACTACACAAAATATTTCAAAGAAACACATTCAGAATATTAACTTTTCTTGAAACATAGACATCATTGTACCTCCTATTTTCTGAAACACACGAGGTTGAAGATTAAAAACGTGGAATATTTGGGCTTAATTTTGTCTCCAGTGAAAGGAAAGTCGGACTAAATAAAACAGGTTGAACAGTGACAGAGGGAACATGAAAACGAGGCATGTCGTTTCATGAACTCAAACCACAATCTGCTGTTTCCGCCTCAGGATGTCTTTAGAGACAAGATCTGCTTCAACAGTCATTATCCCGGCTCTGATGTCCTCCCTAACACATGTAACGTGTCCATCTTGGGCCCGGTGTTGCAAGGTAATGTGTCTTTGTCCCCGTGTCTGTTTTGGCGTGTCAGTCCAAACAGTGTCCTCTAACCCTGCGCTGATGATTGTCAGAGCTGTTTGTAAGCGAGCGAGCCTCTGAATGATTAATCTCTCCGCCCGCTTTAGGCTGGAGGGTTTTGTCAAACTGCAGGAGGCTGCTGGCCAGCGTTGGCGCCGCCTGCCACTCTGCCAGTGGACACAGGTATAAGAGTCTTAACTGTTTACCACTGGAGGAGAGACGGCAAGCTCAAATCGTGGCAGTGGAAGCTGCAGTGGCTCTTACAGTGTCAGCTGCTGGAAGGTTCCACAGCTTATTGGTGATAGCTTTTTGGCAGGCGACATGACTTCTGCACTGAATTTGGTGTCAGCTGCTACGGGTTTGGTGACGGCTGCCACAACTTTGTGACTGGTCCCATGGCTTTTGAGGCAGGTGCCATGATGTTTGTAACAGCTGCCACAGAAGTCGTATGAGCTGCCACTGAAGTCATGGCTCCTGTCACAGATGTATGTGTATTCGTGTTTTCATTTTTTTCTTCTTCCTTTGATTAGTTCAAAATAGACACATTCATATTCAATATTAGATCTGCTACACAAGCCGTGGCAGCTAATACCTTATCTCTGTCACCTCCCACAAAGGCCGGAGTCCACCTACAGCTAAGCTGTGGCAACTTCCTGCAGCAGAAGTGCCACTGCCACGATTTGAGCTGCTGGCCTCTTGCTCCTGCCTCCTGCCTACAGCCCACTGGTTTTCCTGCGTGGTAACCTCCATGTTCTCCGTGTCTGCCAGGCCCTCCCACATCCTGCTGAGCTGCGGTGTCCCCACCGAGGTGGCGGCTAACGCTCTGAGGCTGAGCGTGGGCCGGGGGACGACCAAAGAAGACGTGGACGCCGTCGTGGAAGATCTTAGGGAAACGGTGGAGCTCCTGAAGAAAATGAACTGACCCCTTTTCTTTTGAACTAAAGAGAGTCAAATAAAGATGTGCAGCAACGCACACGCACCGTCTGTTTCGCTACGCCAAACTTGATCCTGTAAGATTATGAGATATTTAATATAAATAATAAAGTGGGAGAACTTGGCCTGGCTTCATGGGTGATGTTATGGAAAAATGAATGCGCTATTGTGCCACACGAGCCGCTTATAAATCTCCCTTCCCTTAAAGCTGCAGACTGTTTGATATTTAATGTAGATTCCGCCATTCCAGATGGGTCACCTGTGTTCATAATTCCAACGCTGTGATGAATTTTTAAAATAACCCTTAAAAAACCTCATTGTAATCCTGACTTCTCCCGTTACTTAAGTTTCCGTGCTGCCTCGGCTACCCCATCTCCACTGAAGCGTGCTCCAGCATATGGCCGCCGCCACACAAAGCAGGAGGCCGCGCGCGCTGCACCTCCAGCCGTCTTTCATTACTCTTCTATCGCCCCCACCCGCCTCCATCACCCCAGTAGCCCTGCTAGCCAGCTGGCTGCTGCCAGGGTGTCACTTTCCAGGCTCAGGAGGAGAGCATGTCGTGTTTTTTTTTTTTTTTTAATCATCATGTGATGGTGTCTCACGGTGCTCCGGGAAACTTGCCATATTCCGCGTTAAGAAGCTGAGCATGGTGCTGCATCGGGCCATCCAGGCGGCTCGAGACGGAGACCTCCAGGCTCTGAGGAGTCTAGCATCTTCCGGTCAGCTCTCACCTGCTATCTGCGATGTCCAAGGCGCGGGCCCGGTTCACCACGCCGCTAGGTGTGGACGTCTGGATTGCCTGCAGCTCCTGGTGAGCGACCTCGGGCTTCCTGCGGGCTCACGAGCCTCAAACGGGGCCACGGCGGCGCACGATGCGGCAGCTACTGGTAACATCCGGGAGTTGCAGTGGCTCGTGGAGCGAGAAGGCTGCAGCGTTGAGGTATGTCTAGTTTTAGTATTTAGAAAGAAAAGACCTGAAGAGGAATTAAGTATGAGCTTCAGGCAGCGGCGCCAAAAAGTGGGTATGAGTTACATGCTCATAGGGACGCTGCGCTAAAGGGGGCGCCGAAGTTATGGTGGAAAAGTAATTTCTAGTTCTGTATTTAGCAGTTGTGTGAAGGATATGATCAATAACTGAAAAACACTGATTAGGCGCCTCTCTGTGTCATTGCTACCTAGTTAAATGTGTGTGACTGAAGGCCTGCTACCCCTAAAAGCTCAGGTAGTGTCCTGTGTTAGCATGAGAAGAGTTTACTGTCATGATTTGGTTGGGCTTCCCCAGGCAGGTTAGGTCAAGGCCTGATGTGATGAAGCTGGTGAAGGTCATGACCCGGGAGCCAGAGGTCACGGTGTGGTTTAATCTTACACATGTCAACCAGATGGATGCTGTAAGCTAAATGCTTCTCTGCTCAGTTAATTTTTCTTTACTATTCCTAGTTCCACTTGAACTGATCAGTAAATGCTATATCAAAACTTACAGCTTTTGTTAATGTTTTTAAAGTTACAAAAAGCTAGCTTTTTAAATTTTGTGTTACCCATTGAATGCATTAATTACCATATCAATAGCTGTGTGTGTTTATAAATGTTAATTTCAGTTAACTTCAAATGTAAATTATGGTCATATCCTTAATCTTACTCCTTGACACGAAGTGCATTGTAAAATTATTCAGTTGAAACTTTTTCACATTTTGTCACGTCAGTAGAAATGAATCAACATTTTCTATTCAGATTTTCTTTAACAGACCAACACAAAGCATGACAAATACAAAGTGTAGCTTCCATTTGTATTCAGCCTTACTCTGATCCCCCTAAATAAAAACTAGTACGACCACTTGTCTTCAGAAGTCACCTAATTTCTAAATTAAGTCACCCAGTGCATTATTTGATCATCAATGGGGACAGTGAAGCTGCTAGGAGTTCTAAGTTTTTTTTAGACTTTTGTTTGTAAAAATCTTTGAAAACCATATTTGAATTTTGTGTTGGTCAGAGACACGATTCTAATAACTTACATGTAACCTTAACATGTTGTTATATTGTTTTAGTACTTGATTGTTCGTTTCAATACTTGTATCCTAAAGAGCCGTTTCGTGGCTGCAGGTTTTAATCAGTACTGTACATGAACTTTTATTTATTTTTTAATGTATTACTAGCTGTTTATGTAATATATGTTGACTTCCTGTGGATCCACTTGCAGCAGTAGCAAATCGAAATTATTTCCAGATGTCGGGTGCAAAGCCACCTCCTAAACATTCTTAACGACTGCACAGTTAAGTTTTTATTTGTTTCTTTTCCTCCAGAATTAGGAAGTGTATCGACTCAAATTAAGATCTAATTATATGCTTATTAACAGTAATAACATTTTGTGCTGCAGCTCTGGAAAGCAGCACATCCTCCGATCCTTTCATCTGTTGTAGTTTTGAGCTGATATTGGGGAGCGGTTTGCCTCAGTGATCTAGTTTGGCCTGCGTCTTCTGCAGCAGGTCTCTGTGACTCTTTTCCAGGACGGCGACGCGGCGGGAGCCACGGCTCTTCACCTGGCAGCTCGGTTTGGCCGTGTGGAGGTGACTGAGTGGCTCCTGTCGGTTGGAGGAGTGGCCACTGCTCAGACAACCTGTGGAGCGGTACCAGCTCACTACGCTGCAGCCAATGGGGGTCTCACCTGTCTCCAGCTTCTCCTCCAGGAGGCGCCCAGGTGAGGATTGTGTGTTTCCAACCACGCTGCAGCAGTCTGTGGTCCAGACTTTAACAAGGCGTTGAAAGACTTATGGAAATCCAGGACCCTGTTGCAATCTTGATAATTCTGGGGAGAAAAAAAATGTAGAATGATTTTCCCCCCCAAAAAAAAAAAATCCACATTCCAGGATTTAAAAGATATAAATGTGCATTAGTAAACAACAAAGCTTTCTAAACATGGATTTGTTGAGATCAAATTCTTTGATGCATTAGCCTCTAGCCCCTCGTAGTTCAGCCACTGACCCTTGACCTGGTGTTCTCAAACTGGGACAAGCATCACTTTTTTTTTTCTACAATTTTCACAACCAAATTTAGGGAAATTTCAAACTTTAATGTGTTTGGGTAACACTTTAGTTGAAGGGTTGTGCGTAAGACTAACATAACACTGACATAAACATGACATGAACATGAAGGAGTCTTCATGAATATTTATGACTGCTCTCATGAAGTGTTATTTGGTAAATAGTGATACTTTTAATGCAACGTTGACACTTTAAATGGACTTTTAATGCAACTTTTCAATAAAAGTGTCTTTTTTATTTAACTGAAAAGAAAAAAAAAAGACATGAAGTTCATGAAGACTTCTTCATGTTCATGTTCCATGTTTATTACAGAGTCGTCGGTCTTATGCACAGCCCTTCAAATAAAGTGTTACCTCTGTAATGGAGGCCGTTCCAGTCCATTAACCTCTCTACTGGACTGTCCAACCAGATCCAACCTCTGCATTTTGTTTTCATAATTTGTGGGAAATCTGTAAACTAAAAACTAACTAGATGAATGTTTCAAATGTTATAGCAGCTCATGGAAAATATACAAATGTGATTCATACAAATAAGGGATCCTGAAGTTTTTAGCATAGCTGGAAGGTCAACACAGATTGTTTTTTGAGACATTTATTCTTATCCTGTTTTCTTCTAGCATTATATATACAAATAGTAATAATATGACTTGTTTTAGTGCTATTATCAGCTAAAGTCTTAGTTAAAGCATTTTTAACTCCCAGAGTGTTATTCTTTCATTTTTTAAATGGTGTAAAAATTAGATTTTTCACCAATTATTTCTAAATATCCTCATTACCAAACCTGTTTAAGTGCCTTGGAAATGATCATCTGTCCTTCCACTGGTTTAAAAATCTGAAACTCAGTATTTAGAGCTCAAACCTCAATGGCTTTTCAGAAGGCAGGATGAGAGTGCAGCTCACACTGAGCCGTGCTCTGTTTCAGTGGACGTGACCTCCCAGTGACCCCAGCGGGTGATAGCCTGTCGTCAGGTCCAACTGATGAAGTGAAAGGACGAGTTTCAGGAGAGAGAGAGAGAGAGAGAGAGGCTGCTGCTGTGAGGTGGCAGGTTGGAGGATAACTTTCCCCTTTTTTTTTAAACAATTCACTACAGAGTCACACCATGACCTCCATATTGACTCCTTTCTGCAAAGCCTTTTGTAGAAACATAAAAGTCTGATTTAAGTCCAGTCATCCGATGTGGAGTCATCTGTATGGCTACTTTAAAAGCATGCTGGTTAATGAAGTTCATCCTCACACTTTGAATCCCTGTTGTTTTCCTTTACCAAATATCACTTTGCTTTTGTTGATGAATAATTGAGCACAGTTGCTGAATAAAGATGAGTCAGAGCCTCACAGTGTATTCATCTCGTTGCAGTAGCCTGAACTCACAATGAAACATGTAACTCCAATAGCTGCAGTAGATAACTTTTACGAAAATACATATTTCTTAAAACTGTCACCATGTCTTAACAGTATAGTATGAGACAAATAATCTGTATTATTGCGCCGCTCCCGGTCAGAAACAACCAATCAGAGCCAGGAGGAAGGACTTTGTGCTGTCAATCAACAGGTACTGTTAGGATCTGTGTTTTCTGTGTAGTTTTTCTGTGTTAGTCCAGTTTCCCCTGTGAATCTGTCTTCCCTGTTGATTGCTCCCAGCTGTATCCCGTTCCCTGATTACCTTCCCTGTGTATTTAACCCCACCTGTTGTCTTTGTCTGTGTCGGATCCTCGTCGTGTAACACCCTCGTCTCACGTCTGTGTCTGTTCCTGTGCTGCCAGTGATTTTCAGTTGTTTCTCCTGGTTTGTCATTAAATCATCTTATCATCATGACTACCTGGGTTCCCCGGCGTCTCTCTCACCGTTCTCCGCAACACATCATGACAGGTACACGCTGCTAAATGTGCTAATGGCGAAGAAACCACTTAGGAAAACGTTTCTCTGCTGTCAGGCTAGCCAAGCTAACTAGCCTGAGCATATTTCTGAGTTTCTGACAGAGCTGTGTATTGGTTGAGATCACAACAGAACCAGAGGGAGAAGGCAGAGGAGCTTTTCACAGATTATCTGTCTCATATATAATACTATCACAACAGAGTGATAGTTTTAACAA